GCTACAGGCAAAATATCTGTGTTCGATTCATTTGAATCTATTAAATTATTTAAACATATGACGCCTGTGACCTTGAAAGTCAAACAAGGACATTAAGTTGAACAGAGTATAAAGCCTTCCGTCCCAGCATACTTCAGGCTAAATATCATTACCCTGTACCTATAGAATATTCAGAACAAGTCATTTGAAGATTTAAACATATTTGATCCCTGTGACCTTCAATATAAGCGAAGGTCATTCATTTGAACAAACTTGGTAGCCCTTCATCCCAGCATCTAACTGGCAAAATATCCCTACCCTAAGCCTCTTGGTAATTCAAAAGAAGTTGTTTAAAGGTTTTCAACATATTTGACCCCTGTTACCTTGAAAATGGGTGAAGGTCGTTTGTTTGATCAAACTTGGTAGCCCTTCATCCCAGCATGTTATTGGCCAATATCAGCATCCAGGGCCTTTTGGTTATTGAGGAGAAGTTGTTCAAAGGTTTTACACATATTTGCCCCCAGTGACCTTGAAAATGGGTGAAGGTCGTTTGTTTGATCAAACTTGGTAGCCCTTCATCCCAGCATGCTACTGACAAGATATTACCATCTTAGGCCTTTTGATTATTTAGAAGAAGTTTTTTAAAGGTTTTTAATATGTTTGAGCCCTGTGACCTTGAAAATAGGTGAAAGTCATTTGTTTGAACAAACTTGGTAGCCCTTAATCTGAGCATGATACTATTCAAATATCATTATTCTAGTCCTCTTGGGTATTCAGGAGAAGTTGTTTAAAGGTTTTGAACATATTTGACCCCTAAAACCTTGAAAATAGATGAATGTCATTTGTTTGATCAAACTTGGTAGCCCTTCATCCCAGCATGTTACTGGCCAAATATCATCACCCAAGGCCTTTTGGTTATTGAGAAGAAGTTGTTTAAAGTTTTTAACATATTTGACCCCTGTGACCTTGAATATTGGTGAAGGTCATTCATTTGAACAAACTTTGTAGCCCTTCATCTCAGCATTCTACTGGACAAATATCATCACCCTGGGCATTTTGGTTATTTAGAAGAAGTTGTTTAAAGTTTTTTAAAGACAATTGACCCCTGTGACCTTGAATATAATTGAAGGTCATTCATTTAAACAAACTTTAAAGCCCTTCATCCCAGTTTGCTTCTGGCCAAATATCATCACCCTAGGCCTTTTGGTTGTTCAGAAGAAGTTGCTTAAAGCAAAATATTTACGCCGGACGAAGAGAAAAATCCATTCATGCTACCATAATTACTCAAAGAATTGAGGTCCTCATCCTATAACCATATTTACAATTTCTGGGTACGAAGGGACTAATGCACGTATGCTACAATTATTAATGCCTCGGTCCGTCCCCGCCCCTGGAGACGTATAGCCCCTGAACCATGGAAGTGTGTTGTTGAGAGAAAAAGTCAAAGTTGGGATATATTTGCAATATTTTGCCAGGATTGTTCAAATATCACGGTGCACAATACAGGTCCGCTTTTTTGATTTGGTAATTAGTTTTTGAGTGTGTCTACCTTTAGGTTCAATATTGTCTGTGTTGTCCTCGAGTTTTGATGTCGTTCTTACATCGGCATCAAGTTTTGATGTCGTCCTTCAGTTTTGGTTGTCCTCGTTATGTCAACATCGTGTTTTGATGTTCTTAAGTCTACCTCGAGTATCAATGCTGATGTTATGTCGACTCTGTGTATGTGTGTTTGACGTGGTTGTAACAATTTATCCATACCTTAGTGTTAGAATGTCTCCTCTCAGAAATATTTCATTTCCATCCAAGTTTGCAAGACCAGTCACAGATAATACTCTAGTTACTGGGCACACTGACAAAGGATATGGATTGATTTATAACGGCATGTCATCATGGTCATCTTGGTTTATCGTGCTGAGCTTGCTGTTTCTAGTCGTGCTGTTGTAATTGATCATTCTGATTGTTGTGTTGGAGCCGAGTCGTATCAGTAAGTAAAGCTGTCGTTTCTAGCTATCTGATGATGGAACCTTTTAAACAAGAGATCATAGAAGGATCTTTGTGCCTACCATCAAAAGATCTTTATTTCATCTTCAAAAGATCTTCATATTTCTTATATGTACTTTTACCAAGTCCCGTGTTAAAATCCTTAATGTAGCAGGAATCTTGTAAATTAACTGAAACCTCGAAATGTTCAATGTTTGGGAGGCAGGCACGCTATACTCCAACACTGTTCAATGTTTAGGAGGCAGGCACGCTATACTCCAACACTGTTCAATGTTTACACGGCGAGATACTTTTGACAGGCGACGCGTCGCAGTCGGCAAAATCATATCCGATAGAAAAATGGCCTACCAGCGGCCTCTTATGTTATAGGAGTAGGTAGTCTCGTGGCAGGACGCCGAGCTTCGTGACCGAAGGGTTTTGGGTTCGAGTCTCGGCACGGCGTTGTATCTTTGAACAAGATACTTTACTCCGCTTGTTCCAGTCTATTCAGCTGTAAATGAGTACGTAACTGGGCAGTGCTAGGATTGTTGAATGCTAGATGTGAGCACCAAAATGACAACACCTGCTGTATGCTCCACAGGGAGATATCTTGGCTGGTTGCAAAGGCCCTATAACCACGGATAATAAATTGTGAATTGCTTTGAGACGACCTACGAACTAGGTTTGTGATAAAGCGGTTTGAACCTCGAATTACTATTATCAATGTCATGTTATTTGTCACTTGTTGTATAAAAATTGCATTACTATATATGCAAAATGCTAAAACGTATACTACTTAGATAATTAGAAACACTGTCAATGACGAGATCCCCCCAGTACCGAGACATAGCGCTAACAAAGTTTAGAGCTCAAACTTCACGGTGACCACCTGTCGGCCATTTTGGTGTCCTGCTCAGTCCAAAAGTTTGTTATGTTTAACCAGGGACCATGTGGAACCTCACATGAAATTCGAAAAAGATCCATATAGTACTTTCTAAGAAATAGCGCCAACAAACTTTAACTCTCAAAATTCAAGATGGCCGACAGGCGACAAACTTCTATATGCATAACTAGGGACCCTTCATGTGCAGTTTGAGAAAGATTCCTTAAATATTTTCTGAGAAATAGTACCAACAAGAATTGTTTAAGGACGGACGACGGACCACAGACGAAGGGTTTATTTGAATAGCCCACGGTCAGCGTGGGTGGGCGAACATTTTTTCTTGAATGACAAGAGAAGATAGAAACTGAAAGAGCTATGCATGTATGTATGTTTGTCATTAAATCACAACAAAAACACTTCAATCATAAGAGATATTTTCTATTTCTCACATAAAGATTTATAGTTTGTATAAACAATACAGCAAAAAACACGATTATTACGGAGTTATCTCCCTTGGCTATTTACAGAGCTCGAAGTTATATACATATATACACCCAACCGGGCAGAATTTTAAGCTTAATTTCTACAAAAAAAATGATAATTAAAAACCACATCACTCTATATAATCTTAACATATTCAAATAAAATGTTTATCAACACAACTTTATCACAAATATTAAGAAAATGGAATTCAAGAATGAAAGTAAGGTGAACTGTAGATTTCTTATTTTTGGTAAAAATAATTTTACAAACTGACAATTCTTAATTATTTTCTCTATCTGTAGGTCTAACATTCAGTATGAATAATTGTTCACATTGAAACACGAGCGTTGTCTAACACAAACTTTTACGAAAATAAATATCATGCTTGAGATAGGAAATCTACAGTATGACCTTTGAAACCCATTGGGGTCGCCACTTATCACTGAAAAGACAAGCCAATCTCTACTGAACACAAGATACAAGTGATAAACTTGGTTATTGCATTGTCCATGGTTAAAATGAACTAATCACATTTATGTTACAGCACGAATGCAGCGACTAGCCCAAACGTTTATACAGATATTTACATCACGTAAAGAAACATTCAATGAGAAAAAATCACCAGGTATCAATTCGGAAAGCAATGACAATGATAACGTAATTTAAAAAGGAACTCTTTTAACTGTATTCTCATGCAGGGATATAAATTAAGGAAATGGCTTATGGGTATTGATAGATCCATAAGACATTTCAAGTTCTTATTACCAGTGGTTCTGTCACTTAATATTAGTTCAGCCTTTTTCTGCAGATTTCATGTAAAACCTGTCTTATGACACATTAACATTTTACAGTTAATCATAAGTGAACAGTTTTGGAGGGAAAAAAAGGGAAAAAGAAACCAGCTGAGAAAAGGAAACATTTCAGGTGTCAAACTGGGGATATTCTGCTGACTCTACGCTTCACCAAGTTCACTACCCAGGAGTTGTACAGAATCAAAATGAAAGACGAACACCTTGCCAAGGGAGGTAAAAGGAAGATAAATCTCTTTAAGGTTGGTTTATCTTCTAAATACAAGGGAGAATACTCTTTACTGAAATAAGAAACAGCACTAAAGTGGAACTCTTCAAGGCTATAAATCTGCTGTGGTACCCTTTACCTTAAACTGTAAAATAATGTGATGCTACAAACAAGTACCATCCCTGTACAAACTTGTCACAACATTAAGGCCGACAGATAAATACATTTGTTACTTATTGCAAGTTTTAGAAATAAAAGGGGAGGTAGGAAAGATTGTCTGAAAACAAAATCAATTTTTACCAAAGACTATACAAAAATCGATATTTTACTTTTTACAATGTTTAGGCAAGACAAATAGGTCTGAAATTTTTTTTTTCAAAAAGAAAAGTTACATATTAAATAAAAATTATGTTGATTCTACCACAGTAAAATTGAACAAAAAAAACCCAAGGTGACGGGGTACATACCGTACTATTCATGGAAAAGTAACATAGAAACACTTACTGGTTGTGCAACAAGAATCTTCTCATAAAAGGAAAGAAAAGCTTCATCAACAGTAAAATATCACAAAGGTGCAATGGAAAACAAATATAATTTTTCATTTCGCCTTAACTCATTCACCCCTGAAGATACATTTGAACCCTTCAAATTCAAAAGTTGGAATAGTTCATTATAAAATTTCAGGGGTGAATGAGTTAATATGTTGTTCTACATATATAATAGATATACAGTAATGTGAAATGCGTGCTGGCTTGGCACACAGGTTGACGACCACGTCTCTTCTTCACAATGAAATAGCTGCCTCTACAGTCACATAGACACTGAATACAAAAACGGAACCATCCCAGTCTCCATATATTTACTTCATTAAATATTTCTAGAATTTAACAGTAATCAGCCTGATCGCTTTGATTTTTCTACTATCTCTCTGATATTATCTCAATTACACATTGTTGGAAACATTTAAGGCTGGAACCTTAACTCATTCACCCCTGAAATGTCATAATGAACAATTCCAACCTTTGAATTGGAAGAGTTCAAATGTTTCTTCAGGGGTGAATGATTTAATTACATTAATTACAGTTCCTCCCCCACTCCCAAGACATTATGTTTAAACACTAAAGAAATTTTCCACATTTATTCTGGACTGTTGGTTTTCTGTAAATATTGATGAAAAAAGTGTTTGGGGCTGGTATACCTCAAGATAAAATGTGTTTGAGGCTGGTATACCTCAAGATAAAATATGTTTGAGGCTGGTATACCTCAAGAAAAAATGAACTCTACTCTTGCACATTTTGAGTTGAAATTAAGTTTGAAGACCCAGGTTATTAACCCTTTTACCACCATAAAGACCATAATGGATTCACCCCAATAAATGCATGGTACGGTCTACCAAAGTTACCTAGGGGTGAAAGGGTAAAGGGTTCTGATTTATTGCCATTATTACAGTATTTGAAAAATGCAAGTTGAATAAAATATGACATACTAACACAGTGATGACCTAAAACTCGTCTGATACAGAGAAATTGCACTACATGTGATTGGTAGCCATGTTGATTCTTAGTGATAGCAAAATATTTTAAAACAAATATTTATCAGTTGGTTCAAATCCTTCCTAACTGATGACTCACTTCGCTGGTCAATAGGTAAAACGTGGACAGAAGGAACTGTATTTGCTAGCAGCACCAAGTCAACAAAGCCCGATAGACAACCCTCTATCTAATGTAAGGGTAAAGTTAACCAAGCCCGATAGACAACCCTCCATCTAATGTAAGGGTAAAGTTAACTAAGCCCGATAGACAACCCTCTATCTAATGTAAGGGTAAAGTTAACTAAGCCTGATAGACAACCCTCTATCTAATGTAAGGGTAAAGTTAACTAAGCCCGATAGACAACCCTCTATCTAATGTAAGGGTAAAGTTAACTAAGCCCGATAGACAACCCTCTATCTAATGTAAGGGTAAAGTTAACTAAGCCCGATAGACAACCCTCTATCTAATGTAAGGGTAAAGTTAACTAAGCCCGATAGACAACCCTCTATCTAATGTAAGGGTAAAGTTAACTAAGCCCGATAGACAACCCTCTATCTAATGTAAGGGTTAAGTTAACTAAGCCCGATAGACAACCCTCTATCTAATGTAAGGGTTAAGTTAAAAAATATGTGGCTATTTTATATCAATCAAATACACGGGGTGACCATTCAGTCTAATGTTGGTTGTCTGACAAGTTTAAACTTTTATCTCACAATCATCGACAAAGTTCAATTAACAGACAGCAACAACGCTTCATCAAGTTTTTTTCTTCCTATACACACAAACAGATAAAATATCACAGACAAATCTCCGCCTCCTTCCAGGCAGCAACGGTTGAGTTCAACTCCGCCTCCTTCTGGACAGTGTAGGTCAAAGTTAAACTCCGCCTCCTTCTGGACAGTGCAGGTCAAAGTTAAACTCTGCCTCCTTCTAGACAGTGCAGGTCAAAGTTATACTCCGCCTCCTTCTGGACAGTGTAGGTCAAAGCTCAATGTCAAGGTTAGTCATCTGAACAACACTGTAACATGTTGACTAGGAGTCAATCACAGAAACAAACACATCCTGTTATGATTGGTGATTTAATGGATACAATGTGTTCATTGGTCTTTTTGGAATTAAGTTATTGAAAATTTGGGAACCTCCAAGCCTTCTTACAGTCCTTAGGATAGTATAGACGCCCCTCATTTGAGGTACTTACAAAACCCGTTCTGACCACAGGTACACACAATCTTGACCTCCTCTGTAAGGTACTTTTAGTCCTTAGTTGAGGTACTTGCAACATCAATTTTTTCTTGTTCACAAGTAACCAGGATCTTTACCTCCTCAAATGGGAACTTGGTAGTCATAAGTTTGGGTATTTGCGACATCGTTTTTGTCCACATGTATACAGGATTTTGACCTCCTCAACAGGGAACTTGTAAGTCCTTAGTTAAGGTACTTGTGACATTGTTTTTTGTATTGTTCACAATTTGACAGGATCTTGACCTCTTACTCTGTAGGGAACTTGTAAGTCTTCAGTTGAGGTATTTGCGACATCGTTTTTGTCCACATGTACACGGGATCTTGACCTCCTCAATAGGGAACTTGTAGTCATATGTTAGTTCCTCGCTCCGTTTGATCCTGAAAACGTGAAATGCAAACAAATATTTAACAAAAATCTTCATGTTTTTTTTTAAATTTGTCTATTTGGCTATTTATTTCAACCATCAATTCAGTTTCTAAAAACGATATTTGCTATGAGGTTTTGAGATTAAGAAGGACGCTCTTCGAGCTTATAAGACAGATACTTACGCCCTTCTGGCGAATATGACATACTTATGCCCTACTGGCATATATGGCAAGATACTTACGCCTTACTGGCAAATATGGCAGGGACTTACGCCCTACTTGCAAATATGACAGATAATTACGCCCTACTGGCAAATATAACAGATACTTACGCCCCACTGGCGAATATGACAGATAATTACGCCCTACTGGCAAATATAACAGATACTTACGCCCCACTGGCGAATATGAAAGATACTTACGCCCTACTGGCTAATATGGCAGGTACTTACGCCCTACTGGCAAATATGACAGATACTTACGCCCTACTGGCGAATATGACAGATACTTACACACTACTGGCAAATATGACAGATACGTACACACTACTGGCAAATTTGACAGATACTTACGCCCTACTGGCAAATATGACAGATACTTACGCTCTACTGGCGAATATGACAAGATACTTACGCCCTACTGGCAAATTTGACAGATACTTACGCTCGACTGGCAAATATGACAGATACTTACACACTACTGGCAAATTTGACAGATACTTACGCTCGACTGGCGAATATGACGATGTGTTTCTTGCCGTCCACCTGTATGACTTTGGAGTAGCAGTTGGGCTGTAACAGAAAAGACAGTCGTCATGGATACAAGATCATGATGGATTCACAAAACCGAGGAGAATTAAGTCAAGTGAAAGATTTAATGTTATCTTACTCTCTCTAGAGTTTTGTCAATCTGCAATTTAATGTCATGTATGTTTGGTTCACTTTATTATTTTTTTTCATCTCATTATTTCTTTCAAACTCTAAAATATAAATTATGATATTAGGAATTTTTCAGTCTAAAGGAAAAAAGCCAAAATTTTGCCCACGTAAATAAATAACTGATTAAGCAAATTCAATATGGTCCAAAGTCTTGTAACAATTTTACAACTTTGTTTTTTGTTTCACTCTGGCTTCTAGGCAGAAATTCTGTAAATAACAAACTGTCTCTGTATGACATGGTCTATGTCCTGCGGAGCAGTGAAAAATATGTATTAAAATGATAATCAATCTAATTAAATCAGTTTTTCAAATCTGAGATCAACGATCAGAAGCCTCCAGCAATAACCTTTCTTAGAAATACATAATAACTATAATTTTTATTTATTTTACAATAGTTTTGAAACAAGCTATTCTAACTTATATAAAAACACCCTTGATGGCCCCGATTTTACCCATGTGGTCAAGCAGGTGACCCCATACCTTTTCACGTCAGATCGGGGAATCGAACCCCGGCCACCTTGGTGAAAGGCAAGTGCACTATCCAGTGCACCACCCGACCACCTCTCTTAGAAATAATGACCTCTCTCGGATTAAAATTGTAACATACCTCACAAGAGTGGTTGATAAAGCGAGCGGCACTGCCGCGCATTGTGGCATCCACGACATCCATGTCGTCTATACGGAACATGTAACACCCTATGCCCTGAAAATTGAAGATCACATAGTAAAAACATGATGCTCTTCAAGTCTCTAGAGGAGATTTCAAATTTTTCATCTCAATATTTGACAATTGAAATCAGTGCTCAAACACTCAATAAATTCATTGCAAAGAACAGATTAAACTGTGACATTTCATAATACTTTTTTTGTCGAATGTGTTTCTGTGTAACAAGCTACATGTTTCTTTCCACTCTTCACATGACAAATTTTAAATATTGGCAAAATATGGAATACTAATAATTTTATCATTGTAATTTGTCTCCTGAAATGTTCCTTCATGAAATTGATCTCTCTTTGTTGTCCTTTTACTGCTGTGTCATCTCCCTTTGTTTATCCTGATGATGTGCATGTCTATTTAACAGTGAATGCTGGTCTCAGTTGGTTGCTGGTCATCAATAATTTCACTCCAACTCTTGAAGTTTTTCCAACAAGATGATTTAACTTGTGATGTTCAGCCGTGAGAGGTTGGTGTAATTCTACTGAACCATGACGAAGTACAATCAATTCAGCCATTTACAAGTGTTTACCTTGCTTTCGTAATACTTCTCCCTCTTGTCGGTGAGAGAGGAGCGGATTACCTCCCCTGCATACTCAATGATCATCTCCCCGCCGTCAATATTCCTCTTACAGAACAGGCCCCGGCCATGTATAAGTGACCTACAAAATGCACATTTTCAAATAGAAAAGCGATCCTCTAGAAATACAGTAATACTTGAAAGAAATTGAGTGATACAGTTAGATATTTAGTTTTTGATATTTTTTTTACAAAACTTGTCAAGAACAAGTAAGAAATCAGTAAGAGAGAGAACAAACAATGACATTTCTATGCAAGTTTGCCCAGCACCCAATAGTCAGGGTGTTGTCAGATGGTGAGACGGATCAGCAAAAATACCAAAAGGTAAGTCTATTAACACTAGGGCATATTTGCCAACTCTCCCTATTTAGGAGGGAGTCTCCCGATTTTGGACCCAATTTTTTTTTTAGTATTTTCAACCAGTGAATTTGCTGAACCATTCCTATATTCTAAGGTCTGATGATTCCACATGAAAGAACAACTCAAAATCTGCCAATTACATGTGTTTTTACATGTGTTTTTTGTCTCTAGGGGGGAAATACACACAACTATTTATGTTTGAATTTTAACCCTGCAGAATCTCCCCCATAGAATTTTCATCAAGTTGGAAAGTATGCAAGGGCACAACCCCCCTTCCTTCAATTAGCTGCAGTTATTGTATCCTAGAACTAGACTGTTCTGGTCTACCAGGCTGTAGAAATTATTATTAGCACACTGGAAAGTAAAACCACAACAGACTGGCGTCCTTACAACAAGGAAGATTCGCTGTAGCTTCACACACAAGAAGGCTCCCGCGCTGTGGTATTACTTGGCTTAGAAACACGTTTTATTTAAAAGTGAAATGAAAACACCTTTGGTTCAATTTCTGTTTGATATCCTGAGCAGTAAATAATTACCTGTATACACCCACAGCCTCCCGCGAGTGCTCCTTGAGTTTCCTGAACCTCATCGCCATTGGCAGATCCATGCTGGTAGCTCGTCTGAAGCAGTGAAGAAATGTAAAACATTAAAGTCAATACAGTACAATGTGTCAGTACAGCCTTGTAATACTACTTAATGGTGTTTAATTTATCTCTGAAGACAAACAATCTATAATTTAACAATTATCATTTTCCGCCTCCTGACTATTTATGATAGAGAAATATTACAGCTGAACAGCGGGGTACAAAGTCCTAAATATGTTTTTTCAAAAGATTAAAGATTACCCATTACAAGAGATATAGTAGGGCCGCAGAAAGTTGGCGAGTCACACCGGGAAAGCATGACCCCAGGACTCAAATATCTCGCCCCGAACATCACTGGCTAGTATCATAGTAGCTTTGATATTGTGCAAAAGATATAGCTGCAGCACCCCAACCTACAAAATGTCCCTAGGTCATTTAGGGTCCAATACGAAACCATCTTGTCCTTTACCAAATATATTTGTACAATTTATTGTAACCTTGACCTTACAATGACCTAATTAAGCAAGTCCTGACCTTTGACCTTACATTTCTTTTTTCAGGTCACCAAATGACATTTGACCTGAACTTGTGTGATTTGTGACCTTTGTCTTAACCATCTAGGTAACCTCGTGACCTTGAACAGATATTAATGAAGCTGTGATATACGTAGGCCTGTTGTTGAACCTAGTGACCTTGAACAGATATTAATGAAGCTGTGATATATACGTAGGCCTGTTGTTGAACCTAGTGACCTTGAACAGATATTAATGAAGCTGTGATATACGTAGGCTTGTTGTTGAACCTAGTGACCTTTGACCCCATTACTGACCTTTGCGACTTCAGGTTCATCTCCACGTCACTCTTGCCGGCGGGGACAGGGTTCGGTTTGCGACGGTACATAGACATGAGGAAGCTGAACATGTCAAACGGCTTGCGTCCATGGTAACCCTCGGTCCGGATACTGCCGGTAGGATTCTCCGCCGGCTCCTGAAACAGCCATGACAACATAGGAAATGGAATACGACTGAGTTTTTATGTTCAACCCCAATTAAGAATTTTCTCTTTTACTAGTGGGAAACCAGTCTCAAATATCAGGCATTCTTTCTTTTTTTTTTAAACAAAACAAACTCATTCACCCCTGAAGACACATTTGAACTCTTACAATTCAAAGTTTGGAATATTTCATTATGAAATTTCAGGGGTGAATGAGTTAATGATTTTTCCTCCTGCTAGCCTCAATATCAGTTCCAAAAATTCTAATTCCAGATTTCAAATAAGACAGGTGATATTTCATTAGCTGTCTTTTTAACAGATTTATCCTACTTGTCCCTTTAACCTTAACTCATTCACCCCTGAAGACATAATTGAACTCTTCCAATTCAAAGGTTGGAATAGTTCATTATGAAATTTCAGGGCTGAATGAGTTAAATTTGGAATTCTGGATTTCTTTGCAAATGAGAATTATGCCAAATTTACCTCAAAATACACCAGGGGACTTGTAAATGATACTGCAGATGTAAGCGGAAAATACTGTGAACTACTGTATTTTCCCATGTACTTGATTTCACACACTATGCTGGTAGGTTTTAATTGTGAATACACAAATACGTAATTCAGAGGATGCTATTTCAATATTGAAAATAAATGCCTACAGAATAGATATTCACGAAATAATTTTAATCCTGTAAATGAGTTTCCTTTTAACCTAAAAATTAATCTTGTATTAAAATAAAGTGATTGACAGCTGTCAAGACAGAATTTGTTGTTAAGAAGATCTTACCAGCTCCTCGGGTGAAAGGTCGTAGTGATGGTAGAGTGTCTCGTAGTTACGGAAGTGTTGTACACCATTCAGCTGTTCTATGAGGTAGCGTAGCGAGTTGTGATTAACGCCAAACATGGTCACACCGCTCATACCTACAACAACGTTCAACCACAATAGGTCTTTATCGTCTCTATCAATAAACAGTCCCAGGATTCTACTGGTTGAAACACATGGTATTGTTCATGGACTTTTCTAAATGAATTCAAGCACATTTCTAGCATTTTCGAACATGTTTTCTTTCAATATTCTAGGTCCAAGTTTATGAATATAGGTATTGAGATTTTTTTCCATTTTTTAATACATCTGTACTGTAATAAAGCATGAAATCAAAACAAACAACAGAGTTAAAACAATTATAAACCTTTCTATGCTAAATTTATATTCGCATAAACTGTAAGAAATTACTTTTCTATCAAAACATTCCTAATAGAAAGTAATACATGCTAACTGTCTTCTGTGTATAAATGAACACACTTTTCCAGGTAACACCTGTTCCCCAGTAATTCTCATCACTTACTTTGGAAGGAAAGTTGCTTCATGTGAGCGGCTACTCGAGCATCTTGAACTCTCTCTGCTACCTGTCTCCACGCCTCTGTCAAACAGATAATTAAATTAATCAGAAAACACATACTGTCTCCACACCTCTGTCAAACAGAGAGTTAAATTAATCAGTAAACACATACTGTATCCTCGCCTCTCTCAAACAAATAATTAAATTAATCAGTAAACACATACTTATAATTAAATTAATCAGTAAACACATACTTATAATTAAATTAATCAGTAAACACATACTGTCTCCTCACCTCTGTCAAACAGATGATTAAATTAATCAGTAAACACATACTGTCTCCCCGCCTCTGTCAAACAGATAATTAAATTAATCAGAAAACACATACTGTCTCCACACCTCTGTCAAACCGATAATTAAATTAATCAGTAAACACATACTGTCTCCCCACCTCTGTCAAACAGATGATTAAATTAATCAGTAAACACATACTGTCTCCAAACCTCTGTCAAACAGATAATTAAATTAATCAGTAACCACATATTGTCTCCACGCCTCTGTCAAACAGATAATTAAATTAATCAGTAAACACATACTGTCTCCCCGCCTCTGTCAAACAGATAATTAAATTAATCAGAAAACACATACTGTCTCCACACCTCTGTCAAACCGATAATTAAATTAATCAGTAAACACATACTGTCTCCCCACCTCTGTCAAACAGATGATTAAATTAATCAGTAAACACATACTGTCTCCCCGCCTCTGTCAAACAGATAATTAAATTAATCAGAAAACACATACTGTCTCCACACCTCTGTCAAACCGATAATTAAATTAATCAGTAAACACATACTGTCTCCTCACCTCTGTCAAACAGATGATTAAATTAATCAGTAAACACATACTGTCTCCCCACCTCTGTCAAACAGATGATTAAATTAATCAGTAAACACATACTGTCTCCTCACCTCTGTCAAACAGATGATTAAATTAATCAGTAAACACATACTGTCTCCTCACCTCTGTCAAACAGATGATTAAATTAATCAGTAAACACATACTGTCTCCTCACCTCTGTCAAACAGATGATTAAATTAATCAGTAAACACATACTGTCTCCACGCCTCTCTCAAACAAATAATTAAATTAATCAGTAAACACATACTTATAATTAAATTAATCAGTAAACACATACTGTCTCCCCGCCTCTGTCAAACAGATAATTAAATTAATCAGAAAACACATACTGTCTCCACACCTCTGTCAAACCGATAATTAAATTAATCAGTAAACACATACTGTCTCCACGCCTCTCTCAAACAAATAATTAAATTAATCCGTAAGCACATACTTATAATTAAATTTTGATACTATGACCTGGTTTATCTTTAACTGTCCCAAGACAAGGTTGATGATTTAACAGACTTTTTCTTTAAAGGGACATAACTCTTGACAAAAAGTAAGAAACTTAGGTGCATAAGAACACCATGTATTGATCATGTGTACGGATTTCATTTAACAGGAGGGTAAATGAGATCAAACGTCCGCTAGTGGATGTTCAGTAAAGTTCTGTATTCCCCAGTTGATGGATTCCTAAGAGTAACAGAAATTCAAAGAATTGATGACTAGACAACATGGAGACAACATCTATGTCGTCTGGTCATCTCTTCTTCAAATTTCATTTAAATCGGACAGACAGACAGATAGACACCCTATTCTGATGTTAAATCAGACAGACAGACAGATAGACACCCTATTCTGATGTTAAATCAGACAGACAGACAGATGGACACCCTATTCTGATGTTAAATCAGACAGACAGACAGATGGACACCCTATTCTGATGTTAAATCAGACAGACAGACAGATGGACACCCTATTCTGATGTTAAATCAGACAGACAGACAGATGGACACCCTATTCTGATGTTAAATCAGACAGACAGACAGATGGACACCCTATTCTGATGTTAAATCAGACAGACAGACAGATGGACACCCTATTCTGATGTTAAATCAGACAGACAGACAGATGGACACCCTATTCTGATGTTAAATCAGACAGACAGACAGATGGACACCCTATTCTGATGTTAAATCAGACAGACAGACAGATGGACACCCTATTCTGATGTTAAATCAGACAGACAGACAGATGGACACCCTATTCTGATGTTAAATCAGACAGACAGACAGATGGACACCCTATTCTGATGTTAAATCAGACAGACAGACAGATGGACACCCTATTCTGATGTTAAATCAGACAGACAGACAGATGGACACCCTATTCTGATGTTAAATCAGACAGACAGACAGATGGACACCCTATTCTGATGTTAAATCAGACAGACAGACAGATGGACACCCTATTCTGATGTTAAATCAGACAGACAGACAGATGGACACCCTATTCTGGTGAACTTTGCTAATGTTACTAAGTTTCAAGGGTTAAAATTATGGTTTTTTTACGATCTTGTGCACATACCGTCCATGCTATCTGCACGACAGGAGAACCCGTCATCACTGTTGATCTCGAACACAAGGTAGGGATCATTTTTGCTGCGAGCCGTGTCGTGCGCTGGGCCACGTCCGTGTGGTTCGCTGGCCTTGGAGTAGGGTGTGGCGATCACTTCCTCTTCGATCTCGGGCTGTGGTAACGTGAGCAGATCTTTCTGAGCGTGCAGAATCGGGTGGCTCATTACACCTACAATGTTAAATCAAAAGGATAAAGAAATATAAATAAAGTGACCATGGTCCATATTCGTATTTAACCCTTTCACCACTGTAAACCATAATGGACTCATCCAGATCAATGCATGGTATAGTCTACTCAAGTTACATAGGGGTGAAAGGGTTAATACAAGAACATACTTATATATATAGAGGACCACAAAAAAATAATTCTCTTGCATTTAATGAGTCTCATCTGAAAGCAATTTTTTACAAAAGATATTAACTCCTTCACCCCTGAAGACACATTTGAACTCCTCCAATTCAAAGGTTAGAATAGTTTATCATGAAATTTCAGGGGTGAACGAGTTAAAGGACATTAATGATACTGGAAATAGAAAAGCAACAGTTGGACGTTGAAGAACTTGTGACTCACTGAACTCTATAGAGACTCACTGAACTCTATAGGGACTCACTGAACTCTATAGGGACTCACTGAACTCTATAGGGACTCACTAAACTCTATATAGGGACTCACTGAACTCTATAGGGACTCGCTGAACTCTATAGGGACTCACTGAACTCTATAGAGACTCACTGAACTCTATATAGGGACTCACTGAACACTATAGGGACTCACTGAACTCTATAGAGACTCACTGAACTCTATAGAGACTCACTGAACTCTATAGGGACTCACTGAACTCTATAGGGACTCACTGAACTCTATAGGGACTCACTGAACTCTATAGGGACTCACTGAACTCTATAGGGACTCACTGAACTCTATAGGGACTCACTGAACTCTATAGGGACTCACTGAACTCTATAGGGACTCACTGAACTCTATAGGGACTCACTGAACTCTATAGGGACTCACTGAACTCTATAGGGACTCACTGAACTCTATAGGGACTCACTGAACTCTATAGGGACTCACTGAACTCTATAGGGACTCACTGAACTCTATAGGGACTCTACCACTCCAGTGGAATGTGGTTGGAATCCACTACAACAAGACAAAGCACTACAAGCTATCCATAGTCACTGAACAGGTGTAGCCATTATGGTATTGTTATTTCTACGTAACATTAGATAAAATAAACATCTTATACATTAACAGCTTGGTGAACATGAAATAGTAAGGGAGTTTTTCCAAACATGAACTTTGGTATTAAAATTTACAATGGGCCAACAATGCTGTATACTTGGGCACCAATCTGGGTTCCAGTATGTGTCACTGTATCGTCCTGAGAGGTCCACATATAAAATGTATCAATACCATAGTAGGCAACAGTTTATAGGATATAACAAAGTGATAAATACGAACAAAGGGCTATAACTCTGTATACAATTGGGCTAGACACTCGATTTCAGTTCGAGGCACTCTGTCATCTTAACAGGTACTATTATACAAAATTTGGCAATTGTAGGTGACAGAGGTATGTGCAGGATAAAGTGATGAACTGACAGATAAACAGGGTGTTACCGGTTTGGAAATAATAGAACACACAACAGTACCGACGCACATCTTACCTGTAACGTGGGGAAGAGCCACACTCCTGGGCTTCAGTGGCGTTTTCCGTCTCCGTATGCCCTTTTTGATGGTGTTTATCTTGATCTTGTTGGTGGCGTTCACTCTCCTAATCTTCATGACACCTGTCGTTTGTTTACTTGCTTTTTCTTCACGCACAGGTGAAATGTCAGTGGACTCTGACTTCTCTGTCAGAACCTTAGCTGGCGAATGGAGGCCACGGAACACAATTTTCTTCTTTGGCGAGATTTCGTTATTGGTTTTCACAAGTTTGCGCATTAGTGCCTTCGCAAGTGCCCCCTGGATCACCCCGTTTTTCTCCATGGTAACCAGCATCTTTTTGCTCAAACTTGAAGTTCCTGCTACCCGTTTTTTGTGGATAATGTTAGGTTTTACCATAGGCCTTCTCACTTTCCCATCAGTATTTTTCACGTATGAATGAAGGTTACTGACGGCAGTCAACTCCTTTTTCGACAGCATTTTGCTGATTTCCTGCTCTTGTTGATAGATGACACTGTCGCTAACTGGAGACACTGCACCGGTGGACATGATGCTGGAGGTGGACCCCACAGTGGAGGTCGTCACCGCAGAATAAATGGGTGTACCCAGACTAGACGCTGGCGGCGCTTTAAGTATCGACTGTAACACACGGCTGTCATTACATCTTGAACCCATTGACAGTGGACTAGGCGTGGACGACTGACCGGCCATGGTCAATGTGTTGGTGCCGATGGACATCTTGTGTGTCGACACTGTGATGCTGTAGGTTCCTGCTTGCAGGTTGGTGGAGCCGAGACGCGACAACAATTTGTCACGGTTGTTAAGCACAGATGGATCTGTCGTCACAGCAACCGGTTTACCGTCCACAAATATACGGACTAAGGTGTTCGTGTTCCTCTTAACGACCTCCTCACCTGTAACACCTGTAACACCTGTAAGCTGTGTACTCCCAGAATTCCCTGTGCTTCCAGGCATCAACTCAGACAGTTGATTGGTGTTTGAGGCCATTTGAGAGGTACTAAACGTCTGTGATGCAATGGGTATGTTTTGAGGAATCATAACAGTACCCGGCAAACTGGAGACCCCTTCCTGGGGCCTCAAGCCTGAAACTTGTGGAATGTTATAGGCTCCCATTGGAGGTCCCATAAGGACTGCCCTTTGACCCATTGGGGTCGGTGTTGTCGTCACACTAAGTACTGACTGTGGTGAAGCTGCGATGTTAAATGGAGGCAAGGGCTGCTGGGATAGGTTCACTGAACTCGGTCCGATGTTAAAGGGAGGTAACTGTGAAGACTGAAAGTTTTGGAGTTGCTGAATGCCGGACATTTCCCCAATGTACTGCGGGCTCGCTGAGGACTGCAACAGTCGAGTCACAGATGACTGAGTATTCACCTGCATCCGGGGTGCAAGCTGCGGCAGGTGACTCATCGAATGTGTGGCCATCGGTAGTTGTGGAGACAGTTGTGGTAGTGATTGTGGTGGTGACAGTTGATAAGGAAGGTTACTAGGCACCTGAAGGACAGTCCCTCCGAGACTGTTGTGCGTGGGCGTCATCACCTGGAAGCCGGTGGTCATTGCCGCAGGCGAGAGCAGACGGGGATCACTGACGCTGGGGGACACCATGTGATAAGATGGCCCAGACATGGCCTCCTGGGCCAGAGGCCGAGTCGTGACCACCATGTTAGACTGTTGTGGCTGTTCCACCCCAGACTCTTTGTTGCGCTGACTTACATGTGACTTTATGTATTTCTGAATTGCCTCGCGTGTGCTGAGGTTACTAGGCAACGTGAATTTTGGGATTGGTGTGATATTGTCTAAAACATTTTGTGTCTCCACTGTTGGTTGTGTAATCGACTTAACAGCATCCGATGCAGATTTGACCTTGATGAGATTCTGTATCATTTTGACTGCCTCAAACCTCAGTAAAGGGTCACGTAGCTGCTCCAGTATGTTGGGGGGCAGCACGGGAAGTATACTCCTGATGTCATCCTTCAGCGTGTCTGCACTCTTGGGGCGTTGGATCTTCACGACTTGGTAACCAGGCGTAGCGGCTTGAGCCCCAGCGATCTTTTGCTGCAGAAGGTTACGGATCGACACAGGGGTCGTAGGGTGTACCATGTTGTCGCCTATACCAGCTGTACTGGAGCTGTGAGGTTGCTGTATCTTAATACGGATGATTGGTTCAGAGCTAGGGTTACACCTACGCTGAGGAGAAAGTTCTTGTTGGAAGTCCTGCTCGTCTTCTTCCTCCTCCTCCTCCGTCTGGACACCAAACGTTGAGGTCATTTTAACACGGCTCTGAGAATTAGACCCTGTGGTCGCAGACGTTGAACAACTCGAGGATGGACCAGAGATTTCTTGCATGCCTTTGCTAACTCCAGCCCCAACCATTGTTATACTTGTGTGTTTACTGTGACTCTCTGCCTGTTGAACTGTAGCAGTTGTGTTAACCAGATTGGATTGTGACAAAACTTCACGCTGTTTTTTGTTATCTTTTTCAGGTGAACATACTGTCGTGGCGATGTCATTTGGTTCACTTTCACTGACTGCAGCATCTTTTCTCTCCGTGCATGACGAAGAAGATTGTCCATCCTTTCTGACATGTTGTACATGTTCTGTTGTCTGTGCCCCCTGTTCTTTCATTTGTTCCTCCTCCTCCTCATTTTCACTGTCAATCACGATTGCTGACAACGCACTGCTGCCTACCTTATGATAATCGCTGTCTCTTACAATGTGGTTACCTTCCTCCCTCTGTGATGTCCTACAAGACACGTTATCATTCTGTTTGCTTGTTGACTCGGAAAGAGAGTTATTTCCCTTGGACTCCACATGCTCTTCCTCTGAATCCTTTCGGACAACAATGTGCTGCTTTCTCCGAGTATTACTTCCTGTCCCAGAGACTTTCTCTCCCACTTGATCACCGTCCTCTTCATTACCTAATGCGTTGTCCGTGTCTGCTCCAAAGTTGTCCTCAAATTTCTGCAATGCTAGTGAGGCTGATCGCCGCGAGGGTCTACCACTCTCCGTATACAGTCCATCCCTGACCTTCAAGTCAGATTTGCGACCTTTGACCTCTGGACTTTCTTTGTTCATTTCTGCTGCTGTCATTGCAGATTTACTCCTTTGATGAAGTTTGTTGTTCTCGTCTCTTTTGATGGGTTCCCTCCCTTGAATTTTCTTGTTTTTGAAGGGTCTTCCTCTCTTCCTTTTAACACCAGGTGAAGTGAAAGAATCTGATGTATTTCCAGTCACCTCTGGAGAAGTGAAAGATTTTCCTACGTTAACTATTCCCTCTGGAGATGTTACAGATACTGATACATTTCCTTCAACTGGGGCAAATATTTCAAAGACTGATGGAAGTTCCTCTGATGCTTTTTCATCATTTTCAATCTTCTTTGGAGACCTCAATATTTTTGCAGGTCGTCCACGCCGCCGGATAGGAGAGACATTTCCACTGTGCATGTTAACTTCCTGTTGCTCAGCTTTTTCGACTGGCACTCCATCTTCTGTACTGTGTCTTTCTGTATGTCTAGTTTGGATAGATTCTTCTGTACTTTCCATTTTAACAGATAAAGGATTTGTTTTTGGCGGCCTACCTCTACCCCCCGGCGACCCGACCAAGCCTGTTATGGTACTGGGCCTGCCTCGCCCCCTTGGCGACCCGACCAAGCCTGTTATGGGACTGGGCCTGCCTCGCCCCCTTGGCACTCCCATTAGTCCTCTGGAAGGACTACGAAGAGGAGGGCTTTTCAACCCTCCACCTGACAGCCTTTCTCTCTTTCTAGGTACAATTTCTTCCTCTGAATGATCTTCTTTCGGCGAAAATGTCAAGGATGGACGTCCCCGCTTTCTGACAATGTCTATTTTTGTGGGGGTCAGTGTTTTAAGTGGTGACCTCTCACCTGTAGCCTTCCCAACATCTTCTTTATCAGGTTGTGTCTTGGAACTCTTCAGGGATGGTCTTCCTCGTTTTCTGATGCCCTCCGTTCCTTCCCTCTCTGAACTAGTCCCCTGTGCAACAGGCGTGACAATATCATTCCCTTCCCTGTTAATGGGACTTTTTCCACGGTCGGGTGACTTCAATTTTGGAGGTCTACCCCGTTTTCCTTTACTTGCACCAGTCTCCGGAGTGTTTGTTGCTCCGTCCTGTGAATGTCCAGTTACTGAGTCTGTATTATTTTTCTGTGAATGATCTTTCTCTTTATCAGACATTACGATATTTGGCGACATCTTTGGTCTTCCTCGTCCACGTTTGACAGGAGGCGTGCCATCATCCGTTATTGGGCTACTGATGTGATTTGAGGATGTACAATCTTTGGAATCGTCGTAAAGAGATCGTTTTGGCCTTCCTCGTTTCTTGTTGGGAGATGCCTCCCTGTTTTGTAATACCTCTAGTGCTCTCATTTCCCCAGCCATTGCTTTTCTGGCCTCCATGGTGTGCTCCCGGACGGAATATCGCCTCCTTCCATCCTTCGCTTCCTCATCCTTTTCTTCTTCCTCCTCTTCCTCCTCGTCATCACTTGTACTGACCTCGAAGTCACAGAATTTCACATGAGTTTTGAAACTTTCCCGCGTGCGATACAGACGCCTACATGTAGGACATTTAAACGGTCCCTTGGCTCCAGGAATGCTCTTCGACAGACTCTCTGCCTTTATTTTCTGGGCTATTTCCATATGAATGGGCAGCTTTTGATCACTCCACCAGTCAATTTCAGCCTTGACCGGACTCTCATCTGAGTGTCCTGAATTTGACCGACGGTGACGGAGGGGATATTTCTTGAGTGGGGAGGACTTGTTGCTGAAGTCTGGACTGGAAATTTCCTCGTTTCCTGTGGGAGTCCTAGCCAGTCCGAGGCCTTTAAGAATCTCTGTCTTTTCCTTCTCTAGTCTCTTCTCTTCCTCGGTATTGACTTTGACTGGTGTTTTATTTACTGGTGACTTATCCATGTTCTCAGCAATGACTGGCGAGGGTTGAACTGGTTTTACCGGTGACTGGTCGTCAGTGATACAAGGTTTATCATCCTCCTTCACTATATCGGTTACCATTTCGGCTGCTCGTTCCTCCGAATTATCACCCCCCTGCGCTGCTTCAAGTGATTCAGACAGGGACTGAAGTTTGCGAGCTCCAGATATCTGACCCTCACCTTGATCCTTGACGGAGTGATCTCCCATGTCTCCTCGAGGATCGCGGTCATCAGCGGGGATTTCATCTACGTTTTTACAATTTACTCCTTCTTTGTCCCCACGATTAACATCATCAACGGAAACAGTATCCTGTGGACCCATAGATTGAGAAACATCGGTTTGGATTGGTTGAAACTTTTCAGGATTTTCGCTGACTAATTCCTTTACTACCATATTCCAGAGGTCGGTCGTTGGACTAGTTCTTCTGTCCGAGTCCGGAGTCGGACTAGTTCTTCTGTCCGAGTCCGGAGTCGCTAAATCTGAGGGACTGTCACTGTCGCCAGCGACCATAACACGATGACCAATTAGCTCATTCCTTGTATTATATATTGGTTCCACAATCTCTGCACTCTGAGTATGATCCGATAACGGAATTCTCTGTGTAAGATCTTTTTCCGTGGTCTTGTCCACCTGATCAACTGGTGAGGGAGCCAACTCTCTTATTGTATCAGATTCTACAGCACCCTGTTGTTCATCGTCATCAGAAACAGATTTTGTTAAAATGTTCAAGTGAATGGTATTAGATATCATTTCGTGTTCAGAATTCTCATGATCTGTACCGGATATTTTATCTTCGACGACCTTGGGAGTTGCCCTTGAAGTATCGGCCCCGTCCTGATCATCTGTCTCCACGCGAACTCCAGTCTCTGACCTACTTTTGGCATCTTTTGGAACGTCTTTATTACTTTTACCATATTTCAATTTCCGCGTTGGTGATTTCTTATGGGATATTTTCTTCTTTAACGGTTTCTCTTCAATCGGACGAAGGAAATGTAATGGTTCTGTTCGTACAACTATTTGTGAATCAGGTTCCTTCCCGATTATTTGAGAGTTGTTTCTCCTGGACAAATCTGTCTTTCTAATTTCTTCTCTCCGGGTTATGCGATCACATTCATCTGACTTGGTCGCTGGTTCATTTGTCATCTTATTTGAATCGTCATCCAAGTCATCGCCTGTCAAGTCTATTGCTGTTATTTCTATATTGTTACCCCTCTTTACAGATTCATCTTTCCCTGACAGCATGTGATCACGATTCCAACCTTCACTGTCAGCTGCATTTTGATTGGTCAACATTGTTTCTTCATTGTTAGCTGTGTGCCGATTGGTCAACATTGTTTCTTCATTGTTAGCTGTGTGCTGATTGGTCAACATTGTTTCTTCACTGTCAGATGCGTGCTGATTGGTCAACATGGTTTCCTCAGCTATGGCATGGGAAATTCCTGGGAGACTTTCTCTCACAACATCTGGGACCTGTCCAGTTGTGTCCACTAAACTCTCCTCCTTGGTCAGTCTCTGGTCCAGAGCTGATGGACATCGGTCATTAAAACTTACATTGTCCTCATCTGTAGAAAGAAACAATAGCCCAGTATAAACAACACATGTTATGAAGTGTACTTCCTTACAATTTTAGCTTTGCTGGAAAAAAATCATTTTACATACCAATACTTTTTTCTTATTGCAATCTGATAAAATATTTCATGTACATAGATATTTATTCTGTTTTTTTCCCCTAGATTTTTTTTTTAAAGTGGACAATTACATCAGTATCTTCAATCCAGTTGTCTAACGATCAAGTAAGTGTTTTGGAGGACAAATTGCAATTTTTCGTACCAAATTTCTTTTTTTTCTACTTTTAACTTTAGCAAGTTATAAGTGTTCCATATGAAACATCAAGGTGAGATAACTCTGTTCCAATGTTGTCAATTTTGACCTCGTCATTATCTAGAAAACCACATTTTTACCAAATTCTCAGAGGGATAAAAAAGAGCTGTTCACTATGTAGGTATGGGGATATGTAAGATTAACTTTTGGGTCGACTCTGGGTCAGAACCAATTCATCCTCCCTATACCAACTTGTCTACTATGAGTGACCTGCTGCCTTACAATCTAGCAACATTTGCTGGAAGTGATCAACAAGGTAGCTAGATTGTCATCACTCCACTCTTTAACATGTCTTCCAAATACATTTTTTGCTTCAATTTAAAACTGTTTCTTTAAAGCAAGATTTATAAAACTTCTTAAATTTCTAAATGTACAAATACCTGTATGCATCTGATCCTGTGTCTCCATTGGTCCCACACTCTGCACCTTCGGTAACCTTTCATTTGACATGGATTCTGCCAAGATTTCATTTGATATTGATTCATCAATACGTTCTTTTGATACAGAGTCAGTCAAACCTTTCTTTGATACTGATTCAGACAAGTTTTCAACAGGAACAAGTTCGTTCAAGCTTTTGTTAGACACCGACTCATTCAAGCACTTCTCTGAAACAGATTCAGTCGAGTCCTCATTGCACACAGATCCAGACAAACGTTTGTCTGTGCTTGATTCCACAGTACAGTTGTCTAGAAGCATTCCGGAGCTGCTGCACAAGTACAGACCATCAGATCTCTTTACACCTAACTCTTGTTCTGGTCCCAAATTGTTTTTCTCCTCTGACTCTGGTTTTGATTTAGTTATGTCTATAAGTATCACGTCATTTATATCAACATTGCTTGCAGCTTCTAATTCGTCAGTTGAGTCATCGGTAGAATCAAAGATGGTTGTCCCATGTTGACCCCCAGTTTTATTTCCAGCAGAGGTTTGTATTTGAGTATCTGTCTCTGTGGTACTGTTTGTTTCCGTAGCCTCACTAATCCTGTCTTCCTGAGTTATCTCCCTTGAATCACCAAAATGGTCCATAGTATTTTCCTGTATCTCAACTGAATTTTTCAAAGCTGTCTCTTCTTGAGGCTTCTCAACTGTAACCCTTACCTCACCCGAATAATCTGTAGTTATCTCCCCTGGAGAGACTGTTTTCGTTTTGTCAGCAGAATATTCCATAGACGTCTCCCTTGTATCACAACAATCGTCAGTGGTTATCGGTCCCAAAGGATCGTCAATGGTTTCCGTTTCCTCTTTATTTGAATCCTTTAACTGTTGACTTTCACTTGTATCACCTTGTTTCACAACATTGTATTCTCCCGAGTTTTCCTCCAACTGATCCTCTGTTTGATTGCAAGTTTCCTCTGCGTCTTGTAGTTCCAGATTTTCCACTCCTTCTTGTTGCTGAAGAGCTGCCTGCGCAATAGCAATGACCTCCTCCTCAGTGAGTTCTCCGCAGTCCTCAGGTAACACAATCACGGTCTCTCGAATGTTTTCTGCATTCAAATTTCCCTCCTCGGCAATTGGTTCGAGGCTGGAGTCAGTTGTCATTCCTGATTGGTCCATGGACTCTTCAGCAGACACAGTAGAAAATGTGGCATTTCCATCTGTGTCCGGATCTTTGGTCTGAGAGGTTTCCATATCGTTGACGGGCTCACTGTTGCTCTCTGGCAGGGTAACAGAAGAACCAGCTAGATATTCTCTTTCAGTTGAGTTTGACCTTGACCTTGAAAAAGGCAAGGGAGAGGTCACAAATCGTTCCACAGATTTCGACCTCTCACGAGACAGAGGAGAGGGCACGAACCTTTCAACTGAGTTTGACCTTGATGACAGCATCCTTTCAACGGAATTTGACCTTGACCTCCCACGCACAGCAGAAGACGGAGTATTCTTTTCACCATCTTTACGATTAATATTACGATTACGCGCAGCTGCTTGATTCAGACGGTCAGCAATTTTTGTCAAGAAACCACTGAATTTGTTCTCGGTAACACTAGGTGGAGCTTGTATTAATGCTGGTTTCTCAGGAACAGGTACACTATCTCTCTTATACAGCTCTGGGTCCTTGATGTTCAGCAGTTTGAGGGTTTTTGGAGATAACACTGTCAAGTCCACTTTTGAGGATTTCTTTTTCACGAGGGGCCAAGAACTACTGAGCTTGTCTGTCTGAGAATCGGACTCTGCAGCGAAAGAAGAATTACCATTATAACTAGAACTGAGACCTTGACCTTGAAAGCTTGCGGACTGGTAAGTAACTAAACCGTCCATTTCGTACGAGTCACCCGACAGATCAATAACGTCCGATTTTAAACTGTTGTTATTATTGTTGCTATGTGATTCGGTGTCAGGGAAGAGATTCACTCCTGGGATGTCAAGTGTCGACAAGGGAACGTAATCTGGATGACTTGTGTCGTGTATAATTGTCATGTCCTTCAGAACGACCTTCATGGATTTTGGACTGTCCGGCTTGACTTCCACGATGCGGCAGTTATAAACACAGCGACGGCGTGCGTCCTTCGTGCTCCAGAACACTCGCGAAGAACTGCAAGAGAAAATCACAAATGAATTTTTGAAAGGAATTCTAAGCTGAACCAAGCTTTTCAAAATTGTTATTTTAAATCATTTTTCTCATTATTTTCAAAATCCTAATTTCCATATAATTCCACATAAACAAACTTTCAAAATACAAAATGTCACTCTTCAGCGTGAACACCTCGTGTGAGGACCCAGTTTGTAAAGTGACTGATCCCAAAACAACTGACAATTTCTAAATTGATATTTATAAGGACCTGACAGCCCAATAGTCTGAGACTAGTGAAGTCACCAGCTGTAAGTATAAGTAGATAAGTCACCAGCTGTACGTATAAGTAGATAAGTCACCAGCTGTAAGTATAATTAGATAAGTCACCAGCTGTAAGTATAAGTAGTACTCAAAATTTGATATTGCTTATCTTATTACATAATAAACTGTAAAACTGTGCCTTTGTTTTGAACAGGGTACAATACTGAATATTTTTTTGGAGGTCACGATACACCTACAGATAAGTCACCAGCTGTAAGTATAAGTAGATAAGTTACCAGCTGTAAGTATAAGTAGATAAGTCACCAGTTGTAAGTATAAGTAGATAAGTCACCAGCTGTAAGCCTCGTGTGAGGACCCAGTTTGTAAAGTGACTGATCCCAAAACAACTGCCAATTTCTAAATCAATATTTATAAGGACCTGACAGCCCAATAGTCTGAGACTAGTGAAGTCACCAGCTGTGAGTATAAGTAGATAAGTCACCAGCTGTAAGTATAAGTACATAAGTCACCAGCTGTAAGTATAAGTAGATAAGTTACCAGCTGTAAGTATAAGTAGATAAGTCACCAGTTGTAAGTATAAGTAGATAAGTCACCAGCTGTAAGGATAAGTAGATAAGTCACCAGCTGTAAGTATAATTAGATAAGTCACCAGCTGTAAGTATAAGTAGATAAGACACCAGCTGTAAGTATAAGTAGATAAGTCACAAGCTGTAAGTATAAGTAGATAAGTCACCAGTTGTAAGTATAAGTAGATAAGTCACAAGCTGTAAGTATAAGTAGATAAGTCACCAGTTGTAAGTATAAGTAGATAAGTCACAAGCTGTAAGTATAAGTAGATAAGTCACCAGCTTTAAGTATAAGTAGATAAGTCACCAGCTGTAAGTATCAGTAGATAAGTCACCAGCTGTAAGTATAAGTACATAAGTCACCAGCTGTAAGTATAAGTAGATAAGTCAACAGCTGTAAGTATAAGTAGATCAGTCACCAGCTGTAAGTATAAGTAGATAAGTTACCAGCTGTAAGTATAAGTAGATAAGTCACCAGTTGTAAGTATAAGTAGATAAGTCACCAGCTGTACGTATAAGTAGATAAGTCACCAGCTGTAAGTATCAGTAGATAAGTCACCAGCTGTAAGTATAAGTACATAAGTCACCAGCTGTAAGTATAAGTAGATAAGACACCAGCTGTAAGTATAAGTAGATAAGTCACCAGTTGTAAGTATAAGTAGATAAGTCACAAGCTGTAAGTATAAGTAGATAAGTCACCAGTTGTAAGTATAAGTAGATAAGTCACAAGCTGTAAGTATAAGTAGATAAGTCACCAGCTTTAAGTATAAGTAGATAAGTCACCAGCTGTAAGCATAAGTAGATAAGTCACCAGCTGTAAGTATAATTAGATAAGTCACCAGCTGTAAGTATAAGTAGTACTCAAAATTTGATATTGCTTATCTTAGTACATAATAAACTGTTAAACTGTGCCTTTGTTTTGAACAGGGGACAATACTGAATATTTTTTTGGAGGCCACGATACACCTACAATATTTTTTGGGAGGTCACGATACACCTACGATATTTTTTGGGAGGTCACAATACACCTACAATATTTTTTGGGAGGTCACGATACACCTACGATATTTTTTGGGAGGTCACAATACACCTACGATGTATAAGTAGATAAGTCACCAGCTGTAAGTATAATTAGATAAGTCACCAGCTGTAAGTATAAGTAGTACTCAAAATTTGATATTGCTTATCTTATTACATAATATACCCTGTTAAACTGTCCCTGTTAAACTGTGCCTTTGTTTTGAACAGGGTACAATACTGAATATTTTTTTGGAGGTCACGATACACCTACAGATAAGTCACCAGCTGTAAGTATAAGTAGATAAGTCACCAGCTGTAAGTATAAGTAGTACTCAAAATTTGATATTGCTTATCTTATTACATAATAAACTGTTAAACTGTGCCTTTGTTTTGAACAGGGTACAATACTGAATATTTTTTTGGAGGTCACGATACACCTACAATATTTTTTGGGAGGTCACGATACACCTACGATATTTTTTGGGAGGTCACAATACACCTACGATATTTTTTGGGAGGTCACGATACCCCTACAATATTTTTTGGGAGGTCACAATACCCCTACGATATTTTTTGGGAGGTCACGATACACCTACGATATTTTTTGGGAGGTCACCATACACCTACAATATTTTTTGGGAGGTCACAATACACCTATGATATTTTTCGGGATTTTGTCGTTTCTGAGTTTAGTCTACTTATACCAGTTCCAACAAGGCGAGTGACAGTGCCAGCTCGGCATGCATTTTGGACCAAGTCTATTTCCAGTTGTAATGTTGCCATTAAAAATTTGCAACATATCTTTTCTCTTTGCTTCTATTCTACCTTTCTATATGTAGTGTGATACTTATCATCATATAAATTGTCATGTTTATGTGTCGTTGAAGCCCTATACACCTATGTTAAAATGTATTATTACAAACGCTGATACATTGAAAATATTCTTGTTAAGAAATTAATTTTCCATTCCATAGTACCATATTACTCAAAAGCCATTTAATAAATTCAAGAGAGAACTGATATAGGGGTAACCTGTTCTTCAATCCTTTTCATATACCATCCTAAATAAATTTTGTTTAAATGAAAAATTATAAACTTGAACACTTTTTAAGACTGCTCCCAACCCTGTAAAACTGTACAGGTCTACGTATCAATGTGCTTACCTGAATTCTGCGGGTGCCAGACAATCTCTGTAGTCTGAGGACAGAATCAGTCTCCCTAGGGACTCCACAGTACACGACCCTGAACAAACAAGATCACTTTATATCACTACGCTGCAGGATACACGGTTCATACAGGAATTTTTACTGTGGAATTCAAGGCTTTTTCAGGGCATTTTCCAGTAAAAATAAGGTCTTAGATCTCTGGCTATTTGCAAATTTTTGAAATACAGAGACCTGGATGTCTGTAAATTCATCATACAAACACTAAACAACACTAAAAACTAACAATGGTCGGTATTCAGAAAATCTAGAAATTAACTCTAATCAAACATTTCATTTCCTTATGTTTTCAGATTTCATTTTTATGAGAAAAACACCACAATACCACCAAAATTAATAGTCAAATTCATAGCTCATTTTGACCCTTTCAAGACAGTTTTGTTTAATTTAGAGACTTTTAGGGCCTTTGTTTCCATTTTAGGGCTTTCAAGGCCGTACATGTACAACCACTGAAAATAAATTATACAGAAGAATAAGTCTATCAACGGACTACATAGCATATGACCTATAAGACAGGTCAGATATCACTACTGTATCCCGGGAAATGTTCGCCCTTTGATGGTAAAATCGATTTTATTACTATTCTTACCTTCATGTTGTTAACACTGTAACAATGGATTGGCCCTCCTTATAGACTGTAACTGTACTTGCAATAACATACATTTTTGCATTGTGTTTTCAATACATGAAGCAAGTAAGAGAAATTAAGCTTGTATCATCTAATCACAGGCAAAGGGGCGTTCAGACTAAATCATGGCAAAATCTAACCACCATCCCACCACTCTCATCGCAGTGAAAAGTTGATGAGGATGATTGGGATTTATAGCCACAATCAAACAACAATGACAGATGCACTGAGTCCGTCTCTCAAAGTAATGATTAAAAAAAACAGGAAATACAAATATTTTTTTTTGCATAACTTTATGTGTACAGTCACTTCTTGTGAGTGCCTAGTAGCTGTTCCCTGACAATAGAAAAAGTGCCTAGTTGTTTTATAACGTTAACCGGACTGAGGTAAATACTGACCGATGAGCACATTGATGACCCCGGGGTCGAGCCCCTTGGCCCAGGTCTTCTTGGCCCACTTGACACCCTCCATGTTGACAAGAACTCGTCGGTTCACAGCAAATCGGTCCATGGCAACCAGCTGCAAACAAACGAATCAATTTTCATGAAAAGATTTTAGGTAAATTATCAGGAGCATGATGTTCATCAAACATGTCTAATCTGGCCCCTGAGTATTTTGCCATCCTTTCATATCTGGCCCCTGAGTATTCTGCCATCCTGTCATATCTGGCCCCTGAGTATTCAGCCATCCTGTCATATCTGGCCCCCGAGTATTCAGCCATCCTGTCATATCTGGCCCCTGAGTATTCTGCCATCCTTTCATATCTGGCCCCTGAGTATTCAGCCATCCTGTCATATATGACTGCTGAGTATTCTGCCAACCCGTCATATCTGACTCCTGATTATTCTGCCATCCTGTAATATCTGGCCCCTGATTATTCTGTCATCCTGTCATATCTGACCCCCGAGTATTCAGCCATCCTGTCATATCTGGCCCCTGAGTATTCTGCCATCCTTTCATATCTGGCCCCTGAGTATTCAGCCATCCTGTCATATATGACTGCTGAGTATTCTGCCAACCCGTCATATCTGACTCCTGATTATTCTGCCATCCTGTAATATCTGACCCCTGAGTATTCTGACAACTGTTATATCTGACCCTTAAGTATTCTGCCATCCCGTCTAATTTGACCCCCGAGTATTTTGGCATCCTGTCATATCTGACCCCTGAATATTCTGACATCCTGTTGTCATCCTGTCCAATCTGACCCCTGAGAATGCTCACATCCTGTCTAATTAGTTCCCATAGTATTCTGACATTGTGCCTTATTTGACCCCTTATGATTCTGACATCCTATCTTATCTTTACTGAATATATTGACATCCTGTCAAATTTGACTACTTAGTATTCAGATATTCTGTTTTAATTGACAACACGAGTAATCTTATATGGTTTAATCTGACCCCCAAATATTCTAACTTCCTGTCTTATTCAACCCCTGTAATCTCAGGTCTAATCCAACATATTGTTGTAATTACTGATGAAAGACAGGCCTAGACTTACGTCGCCATCGACCTTGTCAAGGTGAAGACTACAGAAGACCTTCTTGTCCTCCTGGAACACACAGTTGCTGTGTCGGGCACACATAAAGTGGTAGTTGGCCGGACATCCCCGCATACAGCAGCCAACCGTCGCACCCGAACGATTACAGCGGTCACACTTCTGTTAACGAAAACGAAAAAGTTTGTTTTTAACAATGCCAATAGAAAATACTGTGGAGTTTTTCACAAGAGGCCCAGAGGGCCTGTATCGCTCACCTGGATATCTAAGCAATCATGGCAAAGAATTCTCCAAATGAGATCCAAGGGAATATGGCAGACACCAAGGCCAATCCTTGTAGCATATCTGTATTAGATTTTTCATGCCCAGCAATTTTATGTATGGTTATGGAGTGGGGATCTCAACTGTTTCAAAGTTGTGACTCAGAAACTAGGTCCCTAGGGTTGTGGCCAGACCCCAGGATCAATTTTAATATCATGACTGCATTTGTCTCTTTTTGCACAGCATTTGTATATATAGTTTTGGGGTGGGGATCTCAACCGTTTCGAAGTTATGAACCAGGGGTACCGGTTAAGTCTCCGAGGGTGGGGCAAACCCCAAGGCCATCCTGGAAGCATATATGCATTCATCTCTTTATACTCAGCAATTGTATATGTGGTTATATGGTGGGGATCGATTGTTTCCAAGCTGTGAGCTTTTTAATATCATTTTGATAATGTCAATAATGCAGACAAATTGAATTCAAAAATATTTTTTCCGGTTAAATGTTTCATTGTTTTTCATTTAAATTTAAAAAAAAAATGAAATTGTTGCCAGTCTCACCAAAAGTTTTCCTCTGGACACGGCCGCATGGACATACTGAAGTGACCCGTCCAGCTCCTCTTCGTAGGCCTCTGCTGACCACAGCGCACAGTTAATGTGGATCCAGTCATCTTGTCCGGAGTAAAGTAGGCGTCCAGCGTCCTACAGTCAATACAGTGTACAAATATAAATCTACCTCCAACTTTCTGTTTATTGTTTTTTAAGTGCGTTTCATTTTCATTGATACTGCATTACAACACCGCCATGAATATCAATGCTGATCAGACTATTTTCATAAAATTAAATTTAGTTCTACACAAACATTATTAGGATTTACGCAACCTGAAAGTACAAAGTAGCACGCCACAAATGTCAAATAGTTGGAATATATCTACCCCACAGATTGTTCATTGCAATTCTATCACAAATCATGATCTGAAATTCTTTAACAACTTTTAACTTGTAATTCTCACAAATCTAAAATTGAAATTCTCCCGAAACTTATACCTTGTTAACGGCCTATTTTCAGTAAGTGTTATCCTGATGACATGAACGCAGTGTCATTTTGGTGATATTTTACCACAAGCCATTCGGATTGATATGTCTCGCCCATGCCAACTGCTTTGACCATCGATGCACATATCAGAGAAACTAACGCAAAAACTTAATGTTGATGGAGATGCTGACAAAGTCAATGGACCATGAAAGGCAGGCCGCATCAAGCATTGGATGCATGGGTTGAGATGTACTACCTAAGATGCATCTATGGTCCAAGTTTGGTTGGTCTAGCATTTATACTTTCATAGAAACTAATTTAAACGCAAAAACTTAATGTTGAAATGGTGACGCTGCCGCCATTGCCGGCGTCTGAAAAGCAACACCTTAGTCTCGCTTCCACTTCAAAAACAGGGATACAAGCCGTGTATTTATTATATTGGAACTTACAGGGTTAGGTTGGTATCCACACTAGGATCTACTTCACCTGTACACTGATAATCCACAAAAACTGCCTCATCATTTACTTATGTTCCAGAACTAAAACAAACTTAAGTCAAAGGCTAAACAATAAATCAACATATGGTGTCAGGGGTAGGCTAGGGACAGGGTGGCACTTTTCTGTAACCTCCCCCATAACCCTTTCACCCCCATGTAGCTTAAGTGACTGTACCATGCATTGATAAGGATGAGTCCATTATGGTCTACAGTGGTGAAAAGGGTTAATCCTGATAATTTGCTACCCATTTTTATGCTTAACTCAGCCGTCACCCCTGAAATTTCATATTAAATGAACTATTCCAACCTTTGAATTGAATGTGTTCAAATGTGTCTTCAGGTGTGAATGAGTTGAAAGGCATACTACATGTACTTACATTTGGATCAGCGTCTCCATAGTGCCAACACAGGATGCACCGTCGCATGTCTTCGCCTGAATCCTCCAGGTCACATGACAATACCTTCTCAGCATCCTCATCCACAGCTAAATATAAAATGGAAAACAATCTCAATATTGTACACGAGAGTGCAGTCCATTATCATTGTAGGCAAATATCTCAGCATTTGTTGTTCTTGATTTCCCCCTTCCTCCCCCTAAAGATGGCGGCTGGCGCATTCACGTTTTTTTTATTTATTACTTTCACGATAAAATCGGCAATGCACACAGTGCCATGAAATGCGCGCGGGCCTGAGAACCAAGTAATCTTTTTTTTTTGGCCTAAATAGATCTCAAAATCAATTTTCCGCCCCAAATAAATACACCACTCTCAATTACCCATGGGAAGAGCCTTGCGTATCGGGGTGCTGTGGAGTTTCTTGAAAGGCGAGGGCTGGGGTGACCTAGGCATGTCTTGACGCTCCAGCCATTGGGCGTACGTATGGTCCTCAGACGGTGGTATCACAGCGTCCGGTAACATCCCACTGAAAAACAATACACAATTATACCTCACCACCTGCTAATGTTTTACGTCTATGGTCCACTATATAAATATTACGGAACGGTTTTAATCAGATTGGAGTCATTAACACAATTTCTTTTTATTAAAATGTGATTTTGAAGAATATCTGAAACTTTACTTTATTTTTGTCATTTGGTGTCCTTATACCTACAACTTAAGTTTTGAATTTCAGTCTTTCTGAAATTACTCTTCATTGAAATTTTGTATTAAAGTTGCCAATAAGCCAATCAAAATTTGAACAAGCGGACACAGACATCCTGATATTAGCATAATTTTACTTACCCAGGTAGATTCTGTTGTAAGTTTTGTATTAGCGTTGTTGATAAGCCAATTGTACTTTGAGTTAGCAAACATACCTGTAGACAGACATACCTGTAGACAGACATACCTGTAGACAGAGACATACCTGTAGACTGACACCCTGATTATACTTACCCAGGTAGATTCTGTTGTAAGTTTTGTATTAGCGTTGTTGATAAGCCAATTGTACTTTGAGTTAGCAGACATACCTGTAGACAGACAAACCTGTAGACAGACATACCTGTAGACTGACATACCTGTAGACAGACATACCTGTAGACAGACTGACATACCTGTAGACTGACATACCTGTAGACAGACAAACCTGTAGACAGACATACCTGTAGACTGACATACCTGTAGACAGACATACTTGTAGACAGACATACCTGTAGACAGACAAACCTGTAGACTGACATACCTGTAGACAGACATACCTGTAGACTGACACCCTGATTATACTTACCCAGGTAGGTTCTGTTGCTCGTTCCAGAGTTTGCAGGTCTTTATATTAAACCAAGGAAAACATCTCTCCATTTGCTGGAAAATCAACAAAACACTCTGGTTTTAAATAGTTTTAAATAATGATTTAAGAAGCTTTTTCAAAATTTCAACAAAAATTATTTAGTTTTAAATGGTTAAGCTTCAATACCTTACCTTACTTATTTTTTTAAGATTTTCAACTTTTTAAGATTTTCAATCTCCAATCCCCGTCGCCAAGTATAAGGTGACAGGATCACGTGTTATCAGGGTACCTTAAGGTTCGTCTAAAGGACCAATTCACAAATGAAAAAGTGTCAATTTTCCCCCCAATTTACCCCTTTAAAATTCCAAATTGGGAAATCCAAGAAATTAAATGCATTTAAATTCCTCCCGATTGACTGAGTTCTCAAAGTGCAGCGTATGTAGGAAGGACAGAATAATCATGTTGTCATAAAGACAGGCTTAAACAAGAGGCCCATGGGCCTTAACGGTCACCTGATATATTTATACAGAGAGTTGATTTTGTTTTTAACATGAACAGAAATATTATTCAAAGTGACAAAAAACAATAAAACCACCTTATTCAATATCTAGCATACAGATTTCAGACTAAAAAGGATTTGAAACTAGCACCTCTGATTCTTAACAAGGAAAATGAAGAAATTTTAGCACACTGACTCCTTTGAGC